TCAAAACATGAAATTGATCCATTTAACCACCTGAAATTAACCCTAGGCCCTCGGAACCTCAACCAACCATTCCAACATATCCCATAACATCATTCAAACTTGTTCCAACCTTCAGAACGCTCAAACTAACATCAAAACACCAAATCATCATCGAATTCAGCTTAAGAATTCCAAAAACTTCCAAATTTTGCTTTCAATAAAAAAGTCTATCAAACCTCGTCCGAATGACCTGAAATTTTGTACACATATCACAAATGACACAACGGAACTACTCCAACTTCTAGAATTCCATTCCGACTCCTATATCGAAATCTCATCTATCAACCGGAAAACGCCAAAATTCCAATTTCGCCAACAAGCCTAAACCTTCCAAGGACCTCCAAAATACATTCCGATCACGCTCCTAAGTCCCAAATCACCTAACGGAGCTAACCAAATCATAAAAATTCCATTCCAAGATCATATACAAACAAGTCAAAACTTGGTCAAACCTTTCAAATTTTAAGCTTCAAACTGAGAACTATTCTTCCAAATCTATTCCGATTACCCTGAAAACCAAAACCAACAATTTACATAATTCATAATACATCACACGGGGCTAGTCATGCCCGAGAACTGGCGAGAAAAGTGCAATAGCACAAAACGATCGGTCGGGTCGTTACATCCTCCCCCACTTAAACATATGTTCGTCCTTGAACGTGCCCAGAGTTGTTCCAAAAACCAACCAATCACTGAATAACCTTACCATGCACATACCCGGGGGTGATCCCACGTCATCCTATCTGATATAGGTCCGATAACACAATATAACTGAAATTTTACAATCCAACCTAGCCCATAAACCTTAGAACCACATTTTCATTTCTAAAATCATCTACAAGATCAGAATCTCACATCTATACTCTGAATAAGCCCAAACAAGCTGTAACAAACCATACCCACAGACTCAAATGCCATTATGTGACATACTATATAACTCAAACACTTGTGACAATAACTTCAAATCACAACAGTTGCACACAACAACCGAATACCGATAATAATCTCTTATCAATTAAAGTCTCATTCGAACACTTTTATATACTTCCCATGATAAATGAAACACGTAGAAAGTCATAACCATTTCTCATATCAACCATTCGAGAAGCCACTCCTCCTTTGGCATGGACCATAGCAAATTTTTGAGCCGCACATCGATATTATCCTCCCAAACGCTGAAACTGAATTCGTTTGTATTTATTCCAGATCCCAACGATCTCATCTAATCCAACACAACTACTCTGGTGACATGACACATCAATACAATCTAAAGCCACAACTCGTGCAATTCGCACACCAATAAGCAACAATCCGAACGTACTCAAATCATGAAAACGACTCGAATGAAAGAGCTGTACCACAAGCTCGCCAGTACCACCACCATCACAAAACGCTGAGAACCCATCACACGTCGTAGAAATAGAACACACGAATCTAACCCGAAGGGTCATACCTCCACATAACTTTGCTGCAATGCGCGACCGTATCCAAACGCTGGTCCACATGAAACAACTCAAGTCAATATGCTCAAAATCGACAACCAAGCGCAATCTGATGTTTAGAACCAAGTAAAGCATCATAACCACAACGAAGCAATTGACATAACATTGTACAAACCCGGAAGTAAACAACCGATATGCCATCAGACGAGCAACACCCGATACTCCTCCTGCTCGAATTCCACTGAGAGACCCCAATAAAATCGCATCACATGTGCTTATAACCAACAATTACCAATGCCTCACAACATGGAAAAAGGTAACTCATAGGCCTCCCCAGATCCCTAATAAGCTCAATAACAATTGAATTAACACATCCTTCAACAATACAACTCGGAGTCAACCAAGCCGACTCGATAAAGAACACACATCCATATTGGCCTACCAATGAACCTCTTATCAAGGAGTCTTTGAAGTTGTTTCTTCAACTCCTTTAACTCCGCCGGTGCCATATGCTATGGTGCTCAACACCAAGTCAATACCGAAATCAACAGCCCTATGCTGCGACACGCTCGACAACAGGAAACACATCCAAAAAATCCCTCACCTCTGGAATTGAATCAATGGTAGGATTCTCTGCACTGACATCCATTATGAAGGCCAAATAAGAAAGACAACCCTTCCCAGCCATCCGCCCGGTCTTCAAAAATGAAATCACCCTACTAAAAACATAATCCGTCGAACCTCGCTGCTCAATCCGTGGCATCCCCGACATAACCAATGTCGCCATATTAGCGCAACAACCAGAATAACACAACATTGAGACAACCAGTTTATACCCAATATCACATCCAAAATCTAACATACCAAGCAACAAAGATCCACTCAGGTCTCCAAACCCCCAATAGTTTCCACACAAGACCGATATACACGGTCCATAGCCACGACCTAACTTATCTATGAGAACTCCCAGTCTCCAAATCCATACAACACACGAATCACCATATCCGATCCCAACTCCACCATCCGAATACATAACACACCTCTAACACCCAATCATCCCACGAGAGGTAGTCCTATAATTCTTCTGTGCCACCAAGTAAACTAGAATATCAGCAGTCGATCTAACAAGAGAGTGCTGCAATACTAATAAAGTATCATTAACTCAATCACATTGCCCTTTTTCTGAAACGTATACCCTCACCAAGCCACACCAATTAGTAATATCATTCCCTTAATCATTTGAAGCTGCCCATGCAGCCTAAGAATTTTATGACCTTCCATTCAGAACTAAACCGTAACCTTACTCATGCAAATCTCACTCCTACACAACATACTGCATATACCATACCATCCTAGGGTGAACATGAGAACTATATATCCATTCCGAACAACAAGCAACTACGTACTCAACTAGCTAAGAACTGTCCCATTTGATCCCATCTAGGAGAAAATCACTATACGTCCCATGCTCTTCACGCTCGTAGAAAATACGTATCTCTAACCGTGGTAGAAACCATCAAGAACTCTCTGAATCCAATTTGCACAAAACCAAATCGTCAGGATTGAATCCTTTTAACTCAACCAGCTACACAGGCCACCAAAACCCAAGAGCATTGTCACGAAACACCTGCAGAAACTCATTACCTCGTAAGCATCCAAAGAACTAATCATATCCTTACCATGCCAATCCGGCCTACTACCAAGCTATCCATTCTATCCAAGTTCCTTCTGGTTTACCTTCAACTTGATACTTCTTCTTGCTATAACACCACAATTCCTCAACCCAGACTCACTACAGGAGACCCAAGAATAAAACCACACCGTCTAAGGCTAATAAGTTGCTGAATACTCTCTTAAATATTCCCAAAAACACCATATTAAAAATACCTACCCTGAAGGGACTTCTTGCGAATCCAAAGTCATTACTTTCACCTTCTTGATACTGATATGTAGGATCCCATAATTGGTACAGAAATGCCACAAGTCTTGACACCCTCCAATGTAAACCTCAGTTTCTAGACAAACATACAACCTGAAAATCTCCAACTATTACCTGTATTATCTTGAACCCACTAGAATCATTCTCGAGAGTCATCCTCTCACTCAAACCGCAATTAGACCGATCAAACGGACCGGACTACCCGAGCTCCATTAACACCCCATCAGCGCAGAATGTAATCTCACCTTAATACAACCAAACAACTTCCAGTTCTATGCACCGTACACCCTTTACTCATAATAGCTCAAGACATTATGTGATTCTCAAACACCTATGAAGCATGACATAACCTTTACAAAAATTTCCTTTACTCGAGCCATTCTTGGTCTCATCCTTCGTAAGCCATAATTGATTCACCAGTATGCCTCAAACTGGAACCAACATAGCACATAACCGTGCAATCAACTAATCAATCACAGACTCCCCCACTTGGCTCAAAGCCATAGATCAAAACATACAATAACTCATAATGCATATACTCTATTACTGCCATAATACCACAGTGAGATTAAACTCAATCCTTTATAAGCTCGTGAAACACATACCATCTAGTACTTTAAATCTTCTGCAAATCTCGTATTCACCCTCGTGACAGCCAAGCCCACTCTCTTAGGTGACCCAAATTCAAATTGCAACACATATACTTCACTAGTAACAGAGATTTTCCAATAAACAACATAAAGGATCACGCCAATTCTGAACACTCCGCATGAGATAACCCACCTACTTCGCCTCAAACTAACATCTCTTTACACCCTTCCACCGTCATAAACATTTCGCAGTCACTTAATCTTTCTGAGTCTGAACTCATATCGCAACATGAAATTTACTTCACTCCCAACTAGAAAACATGAAAAGATTCTTCACACTCCCATAACTCAGGGCTATACATCAAATCAAGATGGAAATCAAGCACCAAATAGTTCTTACTACCCTCAAGAAGACCATTCTCGTCCCATTCAAATCATATAAACAAATCTTGCAGTAACCTCATACTCATCACATAGCTATCCAGTCATCACTCCCACTAATCGGGACACTATTGGACATACAAATCTGGAAGCACGTGCTCACACAATTAATGCCTCAATGCTCAAGCTATAGGCAAAAACCGACCACAAGTCCTCCAGACTGGCCCAACATCAATACACAGAGATCACATCTCGCTCCTCGATCAGGGAATCATAAGCCATCGATGCATATCTGATACTGAGCGCTCATGTGAACATACGAATGCATTAAAGGAATTCAATGAGTTACATTCCAAGTTGAATCAAGGACGCACGATAAGAATTCAAGATTGTGAAGTTTTTCCTAAAGGTTCTGCAGCCTCCCGAGGATAAGTATAGACGTCTCTATACCAATCTATGAGACTCTACTAAACCTGCTCATGACTCGTGAGACCTATGTAACCAAGGCTCTGATACCAACTTGTCACGACCCTAAAACCAACCCGGTCGTGATGACACCTATCGCGAAACTAGGCCAACCGACACAACTCTCGAGTTAACCAGTTAATCAATAATAATTCATTTTATGCTTTTAATTAATCAAATATCTCAAAATGTAAGTCTAAATGAATAGTGCGGAAATAATATACAAGCTCGACATCGGGGTGTCACAAGTCATGAGCATCTAATAAGGTCTGAATACAACAAAAAAATCTGAAAGTGTACTGAATACAGTCTAACAAAAACAAGAGGGAGAACGCCGGGTAACTACCTTGCAAAACTCCAATGACTCTGCCTCTAAGCAATCAACACCCGCTACCGGGTACAAAAATACCTGAATCTGCACAATATTTGCAGGGAGTAATGTGAGTACTCCAACTCAGTGAGTAATAAAGGTAAATGAAAGCTAAGCAGTAAGAAAACACATAAACCATGTCAAAATGCTACAGCAAATACAGGATATTTCTAACACAGTACAGAAATCATTTACTTCGTAAATCATTCTCAGTTTAAGTGAAAACCTTTTAAAAACAATTTTCAATAATTTCAAATGATTGATAAAACAATGAGTAAACATGATAGAAATGTAAACAGCCCATCGGGCAAAACATGTACCATAAACCGCCCCTCGGGCTACCTCACAATTATTTGTAATCAGCCCCTCGGGCATAACATAAATCAAGAACCGCCCCTCGGGCATTAACATGGAACAACATTAGTCCCTCGAGCTATATAAATAACACACTGGGTACCCGCGCTCACTGGGTGTGTACAGACTACGGGAGGGGCCCCTTACGACTCAAGCACAATATCAAGCCATCTCGTGGCATATTGAATAGGCTCTCAGCCTCATATCAAGCCTCCTCATGGCATAACAACTCAGGACCTCGACCTTATAATCATAAATTAGCACAATACTACAGCGGCGTGCGGTTCGATCCCATAATATCCTCACAATACAAGCCCTCATCCCTACTTAGTCAGAAATCTCTAAAGGCCACTCTGTCACAGTAAAAATATGATGCTCAGCCGAAAATATCATTTAAAGTGTTAAAACAGAGTAAACATGGATGAGTTATTAAAATAGTATAATATAGCATGACTGAGTACATATATAAAATCAAAACAGTGAGGAAATAACAGTAATAATCCCCTAAGGATCTAAACAGTTGGCACGAGGCCCAAATACGGCGTTCAACCCAAAACATGATGATAGCAAACGGTTTTCAATCAAATACGCAGTAAAACAGTCATACGGGATGGACTAAGTCAGAATCCCCAATGGTACACGGTCCCACGCTCGTCATCAAGCATGTGCGCTACCTCAATATAGCACAACGATGTGAATTTTGGGGTTTCATACCCTCAGGATAACATTTACAATCATTACTCATCTCAATCGGTCCAAACCCTAGCCCCTGATGCCTTTGCCTCTCGACTCGGCCTCTGAATGCTCCAAATCTATCCAAAAGCATATTCATACCATCAAAATATGCTAAGGGAACAAAGCCCATTCGAAAATATTCAATTTATACCAAAAATTCCGAAATTGGTCAAACCCGGCCCCGGGCCCACGTCTCGGATTCTGATAAAAATAACAAAACTAGAATCCTTACACTCACTAGTTCATACATACCAAGAACATCCAAATCGGACATATATGGCCCATTCAAATCCCCAAAAGAATCCTCAAACTTTTCTTTTATTTTCCCCCAATTTCCACTCTAATTTCTCAAATTAAATGATGAAATTCAAGACTAAATCATGGAACTAAACCAAATATGAATAAAGAATACTTACTCCAATAGCTCCACTAAAAATCTCCTCAAATTTCACCTTCTCCCGAGCTCTCCAATGGTTTTTGCGATATTGAACTTAAACCCTCGATTTTAAACTTAAACATTCTGCGCAGATTTTTCCTTCATCGTGATCGCGAATATTTTCTCGCGATCACAAAGCATAAAAGGATTACCCCTTATCTGGCTTAGTTAAATTGTTTAATTACTCATTTTAGAACCTATGTGCATTTTACCTTTTACCGCTTTTAAATAAGAAATTATCCTAAAACGAGTTATGCGTACATGTACTCATTTCATTTGGCGTGTCATGAATCATGTTACACGTACGTGTACACAATTAATCACGCTTTATTATTATTAAGACTATTTTGCCAAAGTCACGCGAACGTGTACTCCGGTTTTAATTTGGAAAAATCATAATTATGTTATGCGAATGTATACACAATCACGATAATAATTTTAAACGTGCCTAAAAGCATTTTTATGATTTTCAAAGATTATTTATAAGCCATATTCAAGTCAAATTGCCTTAATAATTCCTCCTTCCCATCATAAATATAAGAAAGGTATTACAAGAAGAAAAAGGAAAGTGGGGAGGAGAAGATATAAAAATCAGAAGTTTGCTATATTTTTAATATGTTCAGTTATAATTTATAAAATAAGTGAAATTTTGTGGGCAATGTCCAAAGATTGTGAGTATTTCCTTAGTTTCTCTGCAAGTAAAAAAACTAAGATACAAATAGCAACCAGTGTCACATAAAAATGCCGCAAGCTACAATCCCTGGTAACAACAAACAAAGAAGACCTACAATCACACTACTTATCAAAAAAATTCTAAGGGAGGTTGCATTTTAGTGATAGCTCACCAGTACAATCAAAAATTGTAGTAGCAATTTTACTTGGCAATGTTGATGATTTTTATTGAGCATTTGTGTTCAACTTGAATAGCAACAAGTTTGTCTACTGTCATTCTATATAGAAAACTCGTCAAAAAGCTAATTTCAGCAAAACCGAACTTTAATTTCACTTAAAACCCCAAACAATCCACTCATTAACAACTGTAATTTTCAAATTCCCAAAAAAACTCTTAAAACTTTTATTGAACAATATAAGACAGTAACAAATCCAAACTTAATCTTGCGAAACAAATAAATAATTAGATTGAGATATCTAAGCTCCATAAAATGTACTAGAATGTCATGCCATCGAATAATTACAAAACAATTGATTAACACAGTCAATGGATGAACAAACAGTGAAGAGGGGAAAAAAAGAGGACCTGAAGTACTTTCAATTTTTCAAAGAACCTCCTGCCCGTTTACAAAGAAACTCAGGCCGATGAAGCTAAACACGGACAGACCCGAACGGAAACCTCAACGAAACAACCTCGATATCGACCGCATCTCAGTCATGACGAACCCAAAAACGTTTAGCAGTAGATTCAGCAATCGAACAATACTTCTACAGCTCAAATGTCACTCAAATTTCAGAAAATCTTAAGTATAAGAGTGGAAGTTTGGATAGCTTTCGAATCCTCCTTTTTGTCTCTGTTTTGTTTTTTTAAAAGCTCTTTTTGAATTTCAGATCTAGACTTGATTTCTAGAAATGGTTCCAGTTCTTTATTGGCTAAAGTGAGATATGCATGAAGGAGTATTGCGTGTGTGTGTGTGTGTGGTCGTGGTGGTGGGAGGTTGGTTTCCGGCGAGCTCTGGTGAGAATGGGGAGAAGAAGAGGAAGATGTGAGGGCTCTTTCTATCTTCTTTTTGTTCCCGTCAGGTGGAAACGACTGGGTTCGATTCTCAGAAAATAGTCGCCGCTGCTTCTCTCTGTCGAAAGAGATGAGAGCTCATTTTTTAGTTTTTAGGGTTTTTTTCTTCCTTTTTGCTTCAGCTGCCGCACTGCTCTCTCAATGAGGGGTTTGGATGAAGGGTTCTTTTGGTTTTGGGAAGGGTCTTGGGCTTATGGGTTGGAGAATAAAGAAATTGGGTTTGACCAAATTTTTGGGCCAACTTTTGTCTAAGAATGGCCCTCTCTTGGACCTTCTTTTGATTTTAAAATCAAGACCATGTCCATCTTAAAATTAATTCATACTAGTTAAGTAAATAATTATAATGAAAAAATACTAAAATTATACATTGAGGTAACAAATAAAACTATTTTTGTATTTTTGAATTTTATGAAAGGTAAACAAACTGAAAGTAACAAGTTAAAATATCAATTACCTAAATAAAGAAAATATTTTTTTGTAATTTTAATTTTTGTGACAAATGAAGTAAAAGAGTCAAAACTAATTAAAATAGCAATATTAGGCCTAAACTAAATATTTAAATGCTAAAACATGTAAAATCTTGGGGAGAGTCAAAAATTACATGTCTACACTCACGTTACCCCCTGCACCTTGTGTATAGATCCAGGTGTTTCGGGCCCCGGTAGCGGTTGCTGATCATATCGGTTGGAGACTTTCCTTGGAGATTGCGAGGTAGCTGCGCAGCGACCGCAGTTCCGCCTTCTCCTTCCTTACCTTCGTTGTAGTACTTTTGTTGGATATTCTCAAACTATGTAGTCTTGTTTATTTCGAACAGTTGTAGCATTTTGCTCATGACTTAGTGATAATCGAGGTCGGGCTTGTATTTCATTCCACTGGTTTTGATTTCTATTTTTATCGTATTGGATTTCTGTTAAAAAATGTGATTTTCTTTAGTTTTTAATTGAAAAATAGAGTATTTGGAAATAAGTTGGCTGGCCTAGTTTCACGATAGGCGCCATTACGACCGGGTCAGTTTTTGGGTCATGACATGCTGGTATCAGAGCCTAGGTTACATAGGTCTCACGCGTCATGAGGGGGTTTAGTAGAGTCTCGCCGATCGGTAAGGAGACGTCTGTACTTATCCTCGGGAGGCTGCAGAACCTTTAGGAAAAACATCACATTCTTGAATGCTTGTCATGCGAATCTGTTGATTCTGGAACTAAACTTCTGGTAATCTATTCTCTCATAGATGGTGAGGACACGTGCTACTGGTTAGGATGGATGACCACCAGTACCACCAATTGGTGCCACTAGAGGCTGAAAATGCGGTCGAGGCTATGGTAGGTGCAGGGGTGTAGCCCGTACAGCAGCTAGGGCAGCATCTGCTGATCCACCCGCCGCCCCAGTTTATGATCAGGCTCCAACGGGGGATGCTCCAACAGCACCAGCTCAGACACCGACTGTGCCTATTGTTATTTTGGGTCTCTAGGAGACCTTGGCTAAGATTCTGACCATGTGCACCAGTCTTGCTCAGGTAGTCACAGTTTTTACTATAGCAACTACTTCTCAGAAGGGGGGAGGCACTCATACTCCCACCTCCTGTACACCCGAGCAGGTTTTTCAGGGATTGCAGACACCAGAGGCACCACCAACCCAGCCGATTGCGCCTGATTAGGATTTTGTGGTTCCAGTTATGCTTGATGATGAGCAGCGCCGATTGGAGAGGTTAGGTAGACTTCAACCTCCGACTTTCAGTGGTGTAGAGGGCGAGGATGCCCAGGGTTTCTTGGATAAGTGTCAGAGGATGTTGCGTACAACGGGTATTCTGGAGACTAGTGGGGTCTCATTTACTACTTTTCAGTTTTCTGGGGCTTCTTTCACTTGGTGGGAAGCTTATGAGAAGAGTAGGCCTGTTGGTGCACCACCCCTTAGTCAGCTCGGGGTGGAGGTCAGTCGGGTAGGGGTCGCCCTAGAGGGGGAGGTCGATCAGGTGGTAGTCAAGCCCGTTTCTATGCCCTCCCAACCATAATAGATGCTATTGCTTCAGATGTTGTGATTACAGGTATTATCTCAGTCTGCCACAGAGATGCCTCTGTAATATTTTATCTCGGTTCCACTTTTTCATATGTGTCATCATATTTTGCCAATTATCTAGATACGCTCGCAAGTCTCTTGTTTCATCTGTTCATGTATCTACTCTGATGGGCGATACTATTATTGTGGACTGTGTATATCGGTCGTGTGTAGTGACTATTGGGGGTTTGGATACCCGAGTGGATCTCTTGTTGCTTAGTATGGTTTATTTTGACGTGATATTGGGCATGGATTGGTTATCACCGTGTCGTGCTATTTTAGAATATCATGCTAAGACAGTGACATTGGCTATGCCGGGGTTGCCACGGATTGAGTGGTGAGGGTTGATGGATTATGTACCCAGTAGAGTGATTTCATTTTTGAAGGCCCAATGGATGCTTGGGAAGGGTTGTCTTTATTATCTGGCCTTCCTGAGGGATGTTAGTGCAGATACTCCTACCATTGATTCAATTTCGATAGTGAGGGACTTTTTGGATATGTTTCCTGCAGACCTGTCGGTCATGCCAATGGACAGGGATATTGATTTTGGTATTGATTTGGTGCCGGGCACTCAGCCCATTTCTATTCTAGCGTATTGTATGGCACCGGCGGATTGAAGGAGTTGAAGGAGCAGCTTCAATAACTCCTTGATAAGGAGTTTATTCGGCCTAGTGTGTCATCGTGGGGTGCGCCTGTTCTATTTGTGAAGAAGAAGGATGGAACTATAAGGATGTGCATTGATTACACGTAGTTGAACAAGGTCACAATCAAGAACAAGTATCCTTTGCCTCGTATTGATGATTTACCTGACCAGTTTCAGGGAGCGAGGGTGTTCTCCAAGATTGATCTCTGTTCAGGTTATCACCAGTTGAAGATTAGGGACTCGGACATTCTTAAGACAACTTTTAGGACCTAATATGGTCACTTTGAGTTCCCTGTGATGTCTTTTGGGCCGACCAATGCCCCAACAACGTTCATACATTTGATGAACAGCGTGTTTCGGCCTCATTTCGACTCGTTTGTCATTGTGTTCATTGATGATATTTTGGTCTACTCACGTAGTCAGGATGAGCATGCGTAGCATTTGATAGTTGTGTATCAGAGATTGAGGGAGGAGAAGCTTTATGCAAAGTTCTCCAAGTGTGAGTTTTGGCTCAGCTTAGTGGCTTTCTTGGGGCACGTGGTTGTTGATACCCAATTTTTTCCTGTATCTTTATAATATGCAAAATACTTTCAAAATATCATGAATATGCATATATAAGTATGTCCCAAGGTTTTAATATTTTTTCTCTTAATTTTAAAGATTTTTAAATCAATTTATTGCCTTATTTTAGCAAGAAAAACCCAATAATTGTTCCCAAAATGATCCTTTTAGTGATTCATCTATTGGATTATCATATTTGCATTAAATATAGCTAACAAAATTTTTGCATATTTTTTTATAAATTTATTTAATATTTTTAAAGCAAAATTGCATGTAATTGCGACATTAGCCTTTTTAAAGATTTAATGGTGTTTATATTATAAAATTACCTTCAGTATTTTTAATTGGATAATTATTTATTATTAATCATTTTAGTGCTTTTAATTTATTGCTGGAAATCAATTTACTATTTTTATAAAATAAATAAGGGAAATGGTTATTTAAATGATAGCCCATTTTTATTTCAATTTTGGCCAGATTTGAACCTCTAATTAATCCAATCTTAAACCCAATTACCCAGCCCAAATCCTAAATCTACCCGACCCACAACCCATTTGAATAACACGCCCGGAACCCCATTTAATCCAGGCTGTTGATCAAAATGATCAACGACCACCATTCACCCTTCCTAAATTAAAACAAACGACCCCCCAAACCCCCTTCATTTCTCTCACTCAACCGACTCTCCCTCTATCTCTCTATCTCTGTTTCTCTCTAGAACCTTCCCCTTCCCCCTCCTCTCCGATGAGTCTCATCCATCTTCTCCGGCCATCTCCTGGCCTGAATCTATGGTGGTGTCACCACCTACCAACCTTCCATGATGCATACACGCTCGTTTGTTGAGGTTTCATGGTCTGACCACGAAGAAGCTTCGTTCAAGCCTCGTTGATTCAAGTTTTATGGCCATCTCCGACCTTGCTCCAGTAAGCTATGTCTGTTTCGAGCCTGGCTTCGATTCCTCCTTCTTTGATCCAGGCCTTTCTCACCGTTTGGGTTCCTCTGAAACCCTAGCTTTTGAGATTTTTCTGATCTCTTTAGATCTATTCCAGATCCATATTTACCCTAAGTTTTTAAACGATTTCTTGATATTTCTTTCAAAGCTATATTTTCAAAACCTTTTTTTTCCGTCCTAAGGTTTCTGAGTTATTTAGAGGCTTCTCTGATTTTCTTTTTCTTTTATGTGTTTTTTACTACGTTTCTTCTACTGTGTTCTCTGTGAGTTTCTTATTAAGTTTCTTCCAATGTGTTCTTAATTAGTTTTTTCTACCATGTTTCTTTATATGTTTCTCCTATTGTGTTTTGATTATTCTTCTTCTACTATGTTTCTTATTAGCTTCTTCTACTATGTTTCTTTGATCTCTTCTACTATAATTCACATGTTACTCTTTTACTATGTTTCTCATGAGTTTCCGTTACTGAAAAAGCATGTCGAAGGCCCCAGTTCCTTTCTGAGATCTTTGAACCTGTTTTCGACTAGTATCTTCTTCTTACTTGTCCTCTCATCTCGGCACTCGATTGATGGTAAAACCCTAGATTTTGGGGTTCATCCGAGTTTGAGAACATTGGCTATGTGATATGTTTGTTCTTCATCTTTAAAACCATCTGATTTCAGAAACCCTAACTATTTTGAGTTTCTGGTCTCTTTAAGCAATTCTGATTTTCCACTGAACTCTTCTAAGGTCTTTTACACTGGACCTTTTGTATTCTATTTGATGCTACTTCTCTTCTACATCGCTAACCTATGTGACTACCATTCCCCTGTAGTCTATTATCTACTGATTCTGCAATGACACATCATTTTCTTTCAGCTTAGCATGTTTGTATGCTCTTTAATGTGCTGAACTTCCCTTTAAAATGGCTTTCAAATTTGTGATTAGTTCAGACTTCCTTCTGTACAG